CATGTCCCAGAAATCATGTTGATATACCACTGGAAATGGCTTTGCCTTTCATTTTCCCAAGGTAGATAAATTGAGTTGCATGTATTTTACTTTGGACCAAAGCATCTTTGTATAGGACTCTAAAAACAGAGCTCCTGTCTGCAGTGCATGGACACCAACAATCCCTTGGCACTTTTTAGAACGATAAAGGTTTGTACCAATGTCTCTGGGCAAAATATCCCCATCTGCTCCTTTTTGGGTAAAATGATGGTAGTCTGCTTAGCTGCAGTCCTGCATCCATATCATGGTGCGTGTACTGATTCCTGAATGTCACACACTAAAACAGGGAGAGATCCACTGAGATAATTGCAATATGTACGATAAATTCAAGAAACAGAAAATTCAAGCTTTTACATTTTGCTGAAAGGTTAGTCTTGGTAATTACACTAAGAATCATATCTCAGTCTCTTTGACTAAGATTAGGATATTCAAGTTACAGAATGTCTCTTTAGCCTAATGTAATTCATGGTACAAAAGAAACTGCATAAAATGTTTGCAGTAAATGAAAGCAATCTGTATTAGTAAACAGTTGGTTTCATTTTCTGGTGTGAAAACATTTAAGACACTAGTTAATGACATTATTTACAACTCTGTAGAGTTCAGACCTTAATTTGCATTTGGGAATTTAACTCCTTTTCTACTTTAATCAGATCACAGAAAGTATCGTACAGTCCACTGTACTGGCTATCTGAAGAGCTGGCCTCCTAGTGAGGTGGGAGTGGAAGAGAATGATGCAGAAAAAGGCAGAAGTAACTGTCTTGTTGCAATTGGGAGATTGCATCCTTATATTGTTCCACAAAAGAATGGTGAGATAAAGGTCAAGCCAACAGAATTTGTTACACGCTTTGCCATGGATGGAAAATTTGTTTATGTAGACCAGCGGTAAGCATTTTGTTCTTTTATTATAGAAAGAGTTGATAGCCACTCCTTATATAAGTTTCTTGATGCTTTCTGTTACATAGACAAAGCTAGTTGAGCAGGAAGCTCCTAAGTATGTAGGCTCATATAAAAAGTTATCTTACACTAACAAATTTACTGACCAGATTAAATCACACATTATAGTGTTATCATGCTTGCTAAGGGATGTATTGCTTACTCCCGGTCTGGTGCCTCCTCATGGTCACTCTGGGAATTAGTTTGAGGCTGAGGCCCCTACCTTTGTCATATGCCATCACACTGTCTCTCTGGTCCCAGGAAGCACAGCATCCTCTTTGTGACTCAGCCTTTCCTCTTTCCAGGATACAGTCCCACAAATCTGTCACTCCCACTGTGACCCAGACAGTTTTCCAGTTCACTGCCCTACATCTGCTCTATGCCCGGCCATCAATGGCTGATACGAAAATCTGGCACCTCAATCCAGTAGTTCTCAACTTTCCTCTCCAGCCCTCTCCTTCCCTGGACTATTTCCTATAACTCCTGGTTTCCCTCTTTGCCCTGAATGTACCAGTTGCAAACCCTCCTCCCTCTTCCTAGGGGGTAACTGCTGTCTGCCTTCCTGCAATCTTTTCTAGCAGTCCCTATCTGTTCCCAGCTTCTCAGCTATATAGGCTCTTTCTGTTTCTGCACAGGTAAGCCACTGCCTCCAGCCTCTAAAGCACTCCTGTTTGCAGTCTAATTAGCTAATTGAACCCACTTGGCCAATTTAGCTCTTACAGGGCCAGTGTGGGGAGCACACAGATCATAATGCTTTAAAACTAATTAATAAAAAATCTCAAATTAGAATTTGAGAAAATTAAGCATAAGTATCAGCAGTTAGCATTTAACCAGAAAATCATTAATTTTATTTCTTATCCTTTAAATGAGTTGCATGAATTTTTCCAACAAATTATTTAATATAGCTGTCCTCACTCTACATCCAAGATACGTTCCAAAAAACTTGAACTTATAGTGAAACAACTTAAAGCAGGGAATTTTTTTCCCATGGCTGACTTCCATTTGAACAAATTGAGGGGAGAGAGTTTGTGCGATTTAAGAACTGGGAATGGGAGGACTTACAATTCATTAGTTCCGATAGGCGTCAAAGACTTTAGTGTGGAATGGATGTATACTGGGGCAACTTAAAGTGGGGATGCCCTGTAAGCATAAGAGTTTGTCCATGTGTTAACTAATTTATTTAAAACAAACATTTCATAATATAGACTCAGTTGTCAGCTTTTCTTATTTTATGACTCATTACTTAAAGTAGAAATGCTGTAGGGTTGCTTTACTGTGCTATGTCTATACAATTCTGTCTCTCATCTGTGAGCACAAAGCCTTTTAATATAGAAAAAAGTAATTGTTTAAACACCATTATTCAGTGGAGCCATCTGATTCACTGGGGCCCAGGGCAAGGTTGCGGGGCGGCTCTGTGCCCCCAAAAGGGGTGGGGCCTTGTGCAGAAGGGGGTGGGTCTGGGGTTAACTTCCCCTAGGCAGCCCTCAGCACTGCCCACAGCACCAATCAGCCATCAGCGCTCTCCGGGACAGTTGCTCCCTTTGCTTCCTCCACCCCCATTACTATTATTTAAAGCAGGGGTCTCTAAACTACGGCCCGCGGGCCGGATGCGGCCCGCGAGGCCCTCTCATCCGGCCCGTGGAGACCTTTTTGTCTGGCCCCACCTTCTTCCGCGTGCCGGCGAGATTATCCCTGAGGCGCTCTCGGTTTAAACTACGTTTCCCAGAAGCCCTTTCGATGCCGCCGTTTCAGTCCCTCTCAACCCAGATTTGGCGGGGTCACGCGTTGTGGGCGGCACCAACCGGAGCCAATCAGGCGGAGGGTGGCTGCGGCGGTGGAAGGAGAGAGCTTGAGTCCGAGCATTGGTGTCAGCGGGAGAAACGGATTCGCAGGCGGCTGCGCGAGGCCCCAGCGCGCGCACGGGACAGCAGGTAGCCCAGGTCAGGGACGGCTCCGCGTGCCGCTTGGCCGGGCGGGCGAAAAAGGGGGGTCTCGAAGGCGGGCTCCGGATCAGACCCGGCGGCAGAGGATCGCGGGAGGCTGGACGGAGGGGAGGAAACCCGACGGTGGTTTCTCAGGGGCTAGGAGCGAGGGGCTACTTCTCCGGGGGCGGGGCTGAGGAGCTGGTGCCCATTGCAGGAGGCGGTCTGGTTGCTGTGGCACAGCCTCTGGGTGACGCTGTGCCGTGCCTAGCGCGCTGCCCTGGTCCCTGCAGTGCGCCCTGAAGAAACATCCCTCTCCCTTCCACGTCTGGTCTCTCTCATCCACAACCCAGAGCAGCACCGCCCTGCCGGGTATCAGTCTGTGGGAGCGTTGGGCACTGCTTTCCAACTTCCTTTACCAAGTGATAACGTGTCTGCTTTCAAACCAGCTTTTCCCATTAAAATGCATGCCCCTTGTTCCATGGGGCTATGTTACAAATTGTCACCTCATTCCCTGCATGATAGGAGAGCGATCACATCTCTTCAAGTGTGAGTGTCTTAGGCTGAACATATTGCCAGGATTATGTTGCTTACAATTTTCATCACATTGCGCAGGTGGAAATGAGTTCTCAGCAGTTTCCCCGTTCTGGAGCCCCTCCTGCAGGACTAGGACAAGCACCACCCCCAATTTCAAACAGTGATTTCTAAAGCCAGAAATGTCTGCTATTTTGGCATCCAGGAAACAATTTCACCATTCACACTAATACAGGTGTTCATGTGTAGTGTATCAATGTGTTATTAAATAATAACTGAATAAAATAATATTAAATAAATAATTAAAAACAACATCCATGTTTTGATTGTTTTTTATTTGGACCTCAAGTGTGTAGTCGGCCCCCGAACTGCTGTTTGATAGTTAATGCGGCCCTCGGGCAGAAAAGTTTGGAGACCCCTGATTTAAAGTAATACTGATTTGTAACACTTTGATACCAACCAAAGTGCTTCATTCTTACTAGAAGAGTTTAAAGTGGTAACTGTTAAAATATATTCAGTTTTTTTTTAAAGAAATCCCACTGTGTAATGAATGTAAATAATTTATATCAGCCTTTTTTCTGTATGGTGAGCTAGCTTGTAGAACTAAGTGCAGAATTTCATAAATGTCAAAATATGCCCATAATACAAATATTCTCTGCAAAATAGGGGATTGAACTATTTTGTGTCTGATGGTGCTGACTAACATAACAATGTTAACATCCTGTTGCTATTGCAAATAGATTCAAGGTAATCTGCTACTTAACTGATCATTTATATTATACATGCTTAGATCTGTACCTGTTGTAGTAGAATTTTGTTTTCAAATACAAAACATTTTTCCCCTTTAAATGTGCTTGTTCTGTTTTGTATGATATTGGCATAAGATGCTAAAGAAGGTGTTTTAATTATGTGTGAATCCTCTCTTCTTATTGTATAACAGCGCAACAGCAATTTTAGGATATCTGCCACAAGAGCTTCTAGGAACTTCTTGTTATGAGTACTTCCATCAAGATGATCACAGTCATCTAGCTGATACACACAAAGCAGGTATGAAATTCCTTAATTTTCCCTACGTAAATTACATACAAACACTATGTGAAAAGAAAATTGTCAAGTAGTCAAGAGCTAGGAAATAGAAATAAGGCCTTTGTGTGCATATGCATTAAGTATTGCTGTCCGGTATCTTAAACACAAGAGAATATTCTTTCTCTTCCCTTAGCCCTCTGTCTCAGTCTCTGTCTACCCTATGCACTGAATGAAGCAGAGGTCCTATATAGCAAAGAGTATGTAGTCATATAATTAAATATTGAATTTAATGGACTAACAAACCTCACATCTTCCCACTGTTGACTTGCAAGCGCATAGATGATGGGCTCCGCTTGACATCTGATCAGATGACTAACTTTGAAATTTGATTAGTGTCCAGTCTTTGTGCTTATCTGGAAAGTACCAAACACATTGTTGACACTACTACATTGAAATTGTTTTATTGGTTGTGTGGCTACCAAAACTGAGTAATCAAAACAGATTTTCAAGTCATTTGTGTCCTCCTGTATATACAAATTAGGAGGTCCTTAATATGCTTTTTTCTTATCTAGTGTTGCAGAGTAAAGAAAAAATATTTACAAATTCCTACAAATTCAGAACAAAAGATGGAACTTTCATTACATTGAAGAGTCAGTGGTTTAGTTTCATCAATCCATGGACCAAAGAACTGGAATACATTGTATCGACCAACACTCTAGTGTTGTAAGTAGCTGGTGATGTGAATAAGCATCTTACTTTTTGTCTTAATTAGGGAAATCATTAATATAATCATTAATATAAATTCATTTTAAAAAGATTAATGAAAAAATCAGGGCTAAAAATACAAACTCCATGAAATAGTTGAATAATAGATTTAAGTTCAGAAGAGACCATTGTGATCATCTAGCTTTTTGACCTCCTGCACATTACAAGCCACAGAACCTCTGCCACCTAATGCTGTAATAAACCCATAACCGGTTTAAATACTGAAGTCTTTAAATCATGATTTAACGACTTCAAGTTACACAGGATCCACCATTTACACTAGCTTAAACCTGCAAGTGACCCATGCCCCATGCTGTAGAGAAAGGTGAAAAACCTCTAGGGTCTCTGCCATTCTGAACTTGGGGAAAATTCTTTCCCAACCCACAAAACAGTGAACAATTTGAGCATGTCAGCAAGACCCACCATCCAGACATACAGAAAAGAATTCTTTGTAGTAACTTGGAACTTTCCCCATTTAGTATCCCATCTCCAGTTGCTGGTGATATTTGCTGCTAGCAGTCACAGATGGGCCACATACCATCGTAGGCAGTCTGATCATAATATCCCCTTCACAAACTTATTAAGCTCTGCCTTCACACCAGTTAGATTTTTTGGCTCCCATTACTCCCGTTGGAAAGCTGTTCTAGAACTTCACTACTCAGATGATTCGAAATTTCATCTAACTTCAACCCTAAACATTATTGCCAATTTATATCCATTTATTGTAGTCATCACTGGCACTTAAATAATTCCTCTTCCTCCCTGGTATTTATCCTTCTGATTTATTTATAGAGAGCAAATGTATCACCCCTCAGACTTCTTTTGTTTTCGCTTAACAACCCAAGCTCTTTGAGTCTCCTCTTATAAGGTATATTTTCCATTCTGCTTCTGGTGATGTCCCCATGGGTGCTCCACTGTTGGTGACAGGCCGTCCCGGAGCTGCAGATCAGTGCTTTTCTAGCAGTTGTCAGTTGGACCGTGCACACGCAAAAGGTGCCTCATGCCGTTTGCACTTTGGCACCTTGCACACACAGCCTGATCCCCTCCCCACCTTCAGTTTCTCGCTTACCACCCTCGGTCATGGATGGAGCTCATCTCTCGCCTAAGGCATTTGTTCTCCTCACATAGATAGCTAGAGTTATTCATACCTTTTTTCTTAGTTTATTGTTCAATAGTTAGGATTTTCTTGTTCCTGTTATCTGTTTAAAACAAAACAAAAAATCATTCCTGAAGGGAGCTGCGGAGTGGCAGCAGCTTTCAGCCTAGTTAAGCTGCCCCACCACAGCTTACCCTACCCTCCTTATCTTCATTTCCGTGTTTAAAAAAAAGGGGGGGGAGGAAAAAGAAGAGAGCAGGAGGAGACAGAATAAGTTTAAGGTCGCCCAGGAGTATATGCTGCTTGGGGGAGGTTCACATACCCCAAAAGTGTGATCACTGCCGCAGCCTTATGGCAAGAGCCAGAAAAGACAGGGAGTTCCAGCTCCATACGATCCTATTTGAAAAGGCTATGCAGCCCACTGAGGAGCCACAACCTTCTCGACCTCCTGTGGAGGCTGCTAAGAAAAGGGCTGCTTCTCCCTTTCCACAGAAGCACTTGAAGAAGAGAGCCTCCCCAGCAAGATCTCTTCCTCCTACCCCGTCTCTTAGGGTAAGCAAGGGAGACACACTGGCCACCTCCGGCACCACAGCACCAAGACCTTCTGCTAGCACTGCTTCTGCAGCCTGCATGGCCTCAAGGCTGACACAGTTGTCAGCACCAGAAAGGTCCCACAAACAAATCTCGGCACCGATGCCAACAACATCTGAGGACCCGGCACCAACGAAAGTCTCCGCACCGGCAGCTAAGCAGCTGTCCTGCCTTCCACTGTGTTGGCACTAACCTCAATTCTGCTTCCCCTAGGGGCATCAGCACTAGTACAACATAGTCTACATGATGAGCGCACATCACTGACAAAACCCGGCTTGTGTATCGCTGGCACCAGATATAATCAGGAGACAACATATTTCCCTCCCTCCATCCAGAGAACTCTCCCTGGTGCTGCTCTCACCCTACACTTCTTTGAGGTATGTTAGGTCTCTGGTGCTGTCTGAGTGCACCAGATTCAGCGAAGAAGATCAGAGGAGTGGCTTTTCCTTGCAGCACTCCTCCCCTGCGACATCTCATCACTACTAATCTTATTGTGTCAGACCCTGCGACCAACCCTGGTACTCAGAGTGGCTGTACCCTCCTTCCCACTATCCACCCTGCTGACTACCATGGGAGCATTGGGGATCCCATAGACGACACTCCACGGCTCTGTCTACCCCGGCAAAGAGGTCTTCACCAGCCTCGCCCACTCGCATTCTTCTAGCCATGGAGGATTTGGCGGAAGAAAAGGGTCAAATCCCAGATGAGCAGACCGAGACACAAGCTCTTGGGGACTCACCTACTGACAAATCATCATCATCACCTGATGAAGCCGTGATTCCAGAGGATACACATCCCACTGATGACTTGAAACAATTCCAAGAACTCTTTAAGAGGGTGGCTGCAAGACAAGAGATTCAGCTTCAAGAGGTGAAGGAAAAACAGCATCACCTCCTCAAAAACACCCATCCTACCTCTCAGGGAAGGATTGCATTGCCCATTGATGAGGCTATTATGGAGGTATCAGATGAAATCTGGCAAACTTCTGCTTCCATCCAACTGGCTTGCAAAAGGGCCAATAGAAAGTATTTTGTTCCTCCTAAAGACTTAGACTTCCTTTTTTCTCACCCGCAGCCTAATTCGTTGGTAATGGACGCTGCAAACCACCACTCGAACGCTCCACAATTCAGATTCACACTTAATGACAAGAAGCATAAAAAGCTAGATTTGTTTGGTAGGAAATTATATTCCTTTGCCATACTACAGCTTAGCATTGTGAACTATTTGGTGCTCCTAACGAACCATGACTTTGACAGCTAGCTACTCTAAGCTAGCTGAACCCATGGAGCATCTCCCAGATTCCAAGAAGCCCATACTGATAGGTCATCCACGAAAGGCATACCATCGCTCACATGGCATTGCTGTTATCAGTAGACGTGGCTGACACAGTGGCTAAGGCAGTTGTATGCAAAGAGCTTCCTGGATCCAGGTAGTGGGAGTACCTAGGGAACTATAGTCTAAGGTGGAGGATCTCCCTTTCAATAAACCTTTTTGTGGCCAACACAGACAAGGTCCTGCATAGCAGCAAAGATTCCCAAACTACACTCCGAACGCTCAGCATATGTACGCATCCGTGTCAACGGAAGCCTTATACCCTGTACTACAGGAACAAAGACCACCTGCAGCAGAAGTCCTATGATTATAACTGACCCAGACCACGGCCCCAGCGGAAGTGCCCATCTCAATCACATTCCTCTGGCTCTTAGGCTTCTAGGCAGCAGATTTGAACCTTTGCTCGAGGGTCTGCCTGATTTTTCCATCTGTCCAGTGCTACCTTTTCACCCACTGGCTACAACCCTTTTTCCACCATTGGGACTCCATAACATCAGACCAGTGGATGCTAGAAATCATCTGTACAGGATACACCATTTTCTTTACGTCACTTCTCCCTCCCTTCTCCCCTTCCCTGTCCCCTTTTGGGGACCCCTTCCACGAGATTCCTCTCAGACAAGAAATCGATTGTCTCCTTCACGTAGGAGCAATAGAGAGAGTTTCTGACCTGTATTGGGGAAGGGAATTTTATTCCAAATACTTCCTGACCCAGAAATGCACAGAGGGCTGGAGACCAATATTGGATCTCAACTGATTAAACAATTTCCTATGAAAGCAATGATTCGAAATAGTCACACTGGCTTTGATCATTCCAGCACCTGACAAAGAGGACTGGTTTGCCGCCCTCAGCCTACAAGATGCATACTTTCACGTCGCCATATACCCATCCCACAGACGCTATTCTGTTGTACCATGGGAGAGGACCACTTTCAGTACAGAGTCCTGCCCTTCAGCCTATCCTCTGCCCCCTGGGTCTTTTCAAAGGTCCTCACAGTGGTTACAGCTTACCTCCGACAGCAGGAAGACATGATTTTTCCCTACCTAGATGACTGCCTCATAAAGGGCCGGTGACATGCAGAGTCAACCAAAATGGTCTTGAAGACTAGTCATCTGTTCCATCGTCTAGATCTCCTTATAAATGAGCAGAAATCAACTCTTGATCCTGTTCAAGATATAGAGTACTTTAGGGCTTGTTTCGATTCTTGAGCTGCCCAAACTTATCTCCCACATCACCGTTTTGCCATGCTACAGAATCTGGTGGCCATACTATCCATGATTCTTTAATCTCCACCTAATCCTTAATATTCACTTGTTGCACTTCCTTGTCTTTCTTTTCCTTTATATGGCTAGGTACCTTTTACTGTTTTAATTTTCTTAAAAGGCCCAACTTTGTTCAGCTTCTGTTGGTTCTCACTTGTTCCCTAAACTTTCATACCTCCCAGAAGTAGCTTTTCTTGTAGCCATTCTATTTTTTCTTAATAAACCTGTTTGAGATGATTGGTCTGCAACCTTTTCCTACAAATTTTTCCCCTTTTTAGGTCTGCAGGTTTCAGATGGCTTCTGCAACATTGATTTCAATTCCAAGCCTTTTCCATATTCATATCCTTGAGTTCTTTTATCCATTCTACTTTTTAACTAATTCCCATAATTTTTTTTAAAGTTTGACTTTTTGAAATCAAGGACCCTAATTACAAACCTGTTATAGTTCTGAACTGAATTAGCTCATGATTCCTCCAACTAAAGTTGTCCTATAGAACCAGCTGGTTGGTGAATGCTAAGTCTAAAAATGGCATTGCATTTTTTTGTTTTGTTTTTGTTTTGTTTTGTTCAGTGACTAGTTGATGATGAAATCTGTGGGGTATCAAATCCGAGAAAATCTGGGCTTCACCATTATTAGTAGAACTTGTCCTCCAAACTATATCTGGGGAATTAAAATCTC